TATTGCACATCTGCAGGACACCTCCAATCACGAGATGACTACAGCGTAAAATGTAAGAGGAGTTCTGAAATGTAAAATGGAAAAAATAATAAACGACTCCCATTTGACGAGGGTGAAATGAAAATAACTCAACCTCATTGTTGAAGAACACCCAAACATCTTGCAAAAGACGGAAGGGCTACTGCTTAGAATGTGAGAGAAATTTTGTGATATTGAACCAGGTTTTTGTAAAAAGAAAAACGTCGTTTTTCGACCCCACCTTACCCCAGAGGCATCATCGAAACCCACGGGGTTTCACTCCGTTACACTATGTTGAATGTAGTGTAACGGAGAGAAAACCCGTGAGTTCCGACGGTGCATATGAATTGAAAATTGCGAAACTTATTCCACATTTTCAGGAAAACACTATCTTATTCTTAAAGATGAATTGGTTACTGCTTAAATTGTTAGAGTAATAACAGGAAGAAGAAAGTCTATCTAGATGTGCAATAAAGTTTCATTTTAACCAAGAGGGTGAAAATGAAGCTTTCAAGTTCCAAATTGGGCCGATTCCCCCCCCCCCCCTTTTTTTTTCTTTACAGAAAAAATATTTTTCTTAAACTTCTATTATATAAAATCAGAAATTTACTTCGTTACAATTTTTAATTTCAAAACCGTAATGAATTTATTATTTGAAATACTAACATGAGGCCCATATCATATGCTCACCTGTGCACTTTATGCTCAATTTGATACAATTTTTGCGGTTTCTCGCTGCCCAGCCCCGAGACCATAAACTGAGAACAGACTTAATTCAAAATCTTGAATTTTGAATATCTTGAGTTTTATTTAACATGTGTGCTTAAAAATATGCAAGTTTTTATAATATTCCAGTGTTAACATATGATGAAAATTTTGTTTCATTATCAAAATTTAATTCAAGAGTTATATTGATTTGAAATTTTGACTTAAGTCTGTTCTCAGTTTATGGTCTTGGGGCCTGGTACAAGGGAGCTAGTGTACATGTATAATTATGGGCAAACACTTATGTGCGGGTATTACTGTCTTATAACATTATGTAGTTTTATTAATATCAGACCAAAACTGAAAGAGTAACATTTTGAACAAATTTTAATCAGTTCTGATATAGTGTTAATCTAGTCCCTCCGTCCGTCTGTCACACTTTCTTCTACCTGTAATTCCTCTCAAAATTTAACAGTAACCAAATCCATCTTTTGGAATATGATAAAGATGTCCTGTAGATGTGCAATAAGGTTTTGGAATTTTCATTTTCACCCTAGGGGTCAAATGGAGGACCGAAAGACGTTTTTCCCCCCAGATACCTGGTTCCCAGACTCCTCATACATTTTATGCAGTAGCCATTACATCTTTTGCACTTGAGGATTTGGGGTGTCCTGCAAATGTGCATTAAGGTTTTAGAATTTTCATTTTCACTCTGGGAATCAAATGGGGTCGAAAAACTACAATTTTTATTTTTACAAAAATATGATTCCAAGAACTCATACATTTTACCCCATATACAGAACCCAAATCATCTTTTGCAAGATGATAATGGGTTTCTGTTGATGGGCCAATGAGGGATAAAAAACAACGTTTTTGTTTATTTTACAATAAAACTCATTTCCCAAAACTCCTCTTACATTTTACAGAATAACATTTCATTTTTTGCAAGGTGGTTTAGGGTGTCCTGCAGATGTGCAATAGAGTTTCGGAATTTTCAATTTCCCCCTAGGGCTCAAAAAAGGAGTCGAAAAACGAGGGGTGTTTTTATTTTACAAAAATGAGGTTCCAAAAATTCCTCATACATATATTTACACAGAACTCTAAGCCATCTCATCTTTGCAAGACGATTGGTGACGTTCAGTATGTGCAATGAGGTTTTGTAATTTTCATCCTAGGTCAAATGAAATCGAAAAATTGACGTTTTTTTATTTTACAAAAACCTGGTTCCCTGTTACATTTTACGCAGTAGCCATTTCATCTCTTTCAAGGTGATTGGGGGTGTCCTGCAGATGTGCAATAAGGTTTCATAATTTTTATTTTCAACCAAATGGGGATCGAAAAATGACGTTTTCAAGTTCCATTTTTTTTAAACAGCAATTTTTTTTTCTGAAACTCTCATTTTCCTACTCAAAATTAACTTCATCATAATCTTTAAGTTAAGACTGGTAATGAATTTATTTGATTTGATTTTATTTGAGATACTAACATAAGAGGCCATGGTCATATGCTCACCTGTGTATTCCATGGTCAATTTGATACATATTTTACGTAAATTATAGATTAACGTTTGTGGTTTCACAGGTACGAAGGAGCCAATGTACATTTAGAGGTAAACACTTGTGTGCTAGTATTACTGTCCTATGACAGCATCTAGTTATTTTTTTCAGTTATCTTCACACCTTTGAAATCATCAAAACTCGACATAAGGATTAATGTACCTTCATAGAGTCTAGTGTGCCAAGTTTTATTGACTTAGATTGGAGGAGAAGCAATTTGGAAACAAATATATTACTGAAAGCTCTCTTTCTCCTATAACGATGAGAACTCCCTTCATTAAAAATCGATGGAACGAAATATGTGTCTTGATGAAATCTAATTGTGGGCAAGATTTATTGAAATTAGATGAAAACTGTAGGAGGGCAGCAATGAACTTCACAGATTACTCCATTTTCAATAACCAGGGTAATTAAATTTCATCAAAATGAATAATGATGTATTATGTATTTTGACCTAGTTTACTTAACTGAATACTAAGTTTATTGAAATCAAACAAATTTGTAGGAAAACTACCATTTTGAATGAATTTCACAGTTTATTTTATTTGTAGTATATCTTCATCGAAAACCAGTTTGAAGTACATGTATCATGAATTGGTATATTTGTGTACTACATTTCATTTAAATAACATCAAATATGTAGAAGAAGTAGCAATTTTTTGCGGGAAAAAATATTTACACACAGACTTTACCATCGCATTATAAGTTCTTGATGTCTTCTCGATCAGTATAGCTAAAACTTGCGTAAATTAAATTGATGTGTTGTACTTAGCAGTGACGTATCAGACCTTACCAAACATTCATTTGGTAAATATTATAAAAAGATACTTTTTTATTGAAAACTACCCAAATATATGACTAGAGTACAATTTTAAAATACAAGTTTATGCTAGTTTAAATTTCACGAATTAATAGTCCCAAAGTCGTCCAATTCTAAACCAGAACTTCTGATGCGCTATAATTATATTACGTCGTCTAAATTATGTGATTTTGCTGTAAAATATGATATATTTGATATAATTTCAATGCAGAGAGTAATTTTGTATTTTTTCTTTTCCTCAAACAAGCATGTGTTCTCTCAAAAAGTGAGAAAATTGAAGAAAAAAAAATAATTTTAAGGAATAATCTTCTTTGAGAATAAATATTGAAAGCTTTTAGTTTATTTTTAGCTATTTTATTGCCATCGACGAAGAAAACAATGATCCAATATAATAGAAGTATCATTGCTTTATGTTAAATCATAAATAAGATATTGCCCAGAATGTTATTCCAAATTTTCGAAGGGGGGTGGGGGGTCAATAGAACATGATTTTAATATATTTATTTACAAAAAAGTGGTACCACGTTAATTTCATATCCTCGATCTTGAGATGATACTAAAGAGAGTTTAAAACGGTATAATATTCACGTTAGAATTATCTAAACACAGGAGACCTTCAATTATTTAAGGTAGTGCGCAATATATAGGCCAAAAATTTCCTCGAATTCAATTTTTTTCCGAAACTTTGATATTTTGTTCTAGGATACAAAATCTCTCTTTATAAGTAATATGAAAGAAATTTAACCGCAGAATTTTCCCCACATTCTTTGAAATATGGCTTATCAGACCCCTGTAAGAAGATTGTGAAATGAGACATTCGACTTGAGAATGTACCTTATTTAAAAACTATCAATTGAGCAAATGCAAACTTGTGTGATGCTGTTTATAAAGGCAACCTTTTTGTTACTAAAATTCAGTAAAATATGCTGATACCGGTAAATTTGAGTAAAATGTGATGTAAAAATAGTTCAACATGCATAACCCCGAAATTGAAAATTCACATGTAAAAATGCTACACTTTAAGTTCTTTTGACTTAAGAGAAAATGTATAATTCATTTTTACAAAAAATCAACAGAATGATTGAAATGGATCCCAAAATGAAATGTGACAATATACGGAAAATTGAACAGGTGTTTTCAGAAAAATTAATGGCAAAAAAACTTAGATTCAGTAGATGGCGTCACAATATTTGACCTTACGCTTTGACATCTTAATATGACCTTGACCATAACAACAGACTGTTATATCACATTTAGACAGCATAAACACATTCTAAAACGTAGGCTCCCAAGTGACCAGTATATAGAATGTCTAATTTCTTACAAAATACGGTGAAAAAATGTCACAGCTTATTAATTTTCTTACAATGATCATTGATTATTGACAATATAGTGATATTATTCTTTTTCTCTTGTACTTCCTAAGAAATTTGTTAAAATAGATTTCATGGGTGTTTTGTACTACCTTAATTTTGTAAAATCTTAGTCCTAAGACACTAGAATTGTGAACTAGTTACTAGGAAATCATACGATACTTAAAGCAAATTATATTTTCACACCAATCCTCTCCACGTCATCAACTGTAGTCTATTGGATACATTTGTGCTGAGCACTAATTGCAGATTATAAAAAGTGATTTGAGAAACATGCAAAACCACTAGTCCCTAGATTATGAGCAGCTCGAGGAATGTACTTAGTGTTTAACACATGCTTTAATTAAACATTTAATTGCAAGGAGTGAACTATTTGTTTTGTTTCATTTTACTCTTCCATTGATAAACCAACTTACGGCACTAAAAGATTATTATCTATTATTTCCTATATATTATTGAGGACATTGTCCTTATCTTGAAGTGATAGTACTTCTCACACAGCATAATACGGTGTCCGTGGCCACAGACATGCTCCTTTTGGCAGTTGTTGGTCTGATTTGTCTTGTTCAGGATGTGGTGGGAGGGGGTCAGCGGGCCGCCCATACTATGTTTGACAAGGCCAAATACAGCGGAAATGGCGAAAGTAAGAAAACCCTATAATATTATTATATTTAACATATGCTCCAGATTTGTTTTCTTTTACCTATTTCACTTTTAACAGTATTTCTCAATTCATAAATGAGAACTTTCAATACCATTTTTATGGGAACAAAAATCAAATTATGGTTTCAAAGGTTTTTGAATCAGAATATCAACATTTCTTAAGGTCAAGCCAAAGTATACTTCAACATGTACGTGTTTGTAATACAATTACCGTATTTATTTTCTTGGAAAATAGGTTCATGCAGCAAATCATATATTATGCTTGAAATTACATGCAATGCAATGCTATATAACTTTTTTGTAGTTAATATTATACTGTCATGTGATTCTTTAAAAATATATATTTTAAAAGGATGCGTATCAAAATAATCTCTCTCTCTTTCTCTCTGTTTATAGAAAGGTGTTGAAAAAAATGACATTCGGGGGGAAATCCCATTTAAACTCATTATACGTATCTTTTACAACAGCAAGATATTTCTGGAGAAACGAGGCCCAAAACACATTACAAAATTCTCTAAAGAATCAACCCATCGTTGGGGTGGCCAAAAACGTTATCATGTTTCTGGGAGATGGCATGGGCGTGTCAACAGTTACAGCAGGTCGTATTCTGAAAGGACAGCTACAGAACAAGACTGGGGAGGAAACAGTGCTATCATGGGAGAGATTCCCCAACGTAGCCCTCTCCAAGGTTAGATTGTAGATTAGTACAGAAATACAATGCACTAGTAGTTCTACTGACTAAATCACGAATTTGTTGTATAAGGTAATGCAATATGTCACGAAAGACGCTTGTATATAGAATTACAAAAAAAAAAAAATGTACACTGTACATAATATCAAGTACAATTTATATGTATAATCCAAGAACAATTGTATTCTGATGAAATTCTCCTGTCGTTAATTAGCAATATTATTATATGAATTAAATAAATAACATACATTTACTTAACTCAGGACTGAGAAATTGATCTTCACTATAATTCTTATCCTTGGTCGATATCAACACCATGGTTCAATTTCAATCTCATGTCAGCATCCTATTTTGTTATTATTTTTTTCTGTAGACTTACAACCAAGATCACCAGACCCCAGACTCTGCAGGGACAGCCACCGCCTATCTATGTGGGGTGAAGTCTAACATGGGAACCATAGGTGTTGATGCACAGATCGTCAGAGGACACTGTGATACTACACAGGCTGCAAAAATCACGTCCATTCTGGACTGGTCACTTGCACAAGGTACATAACCAATAACATTTAGTCAACCATTACCATGATAATATTGCATGTTGATTTTTGTTCCATTTTTAGCTCACCTCAACGAAGTTGAGGGGAGCTTATGTAATATCCTGGGTGTCGGCGTCCCAGGTTAAAATTTTTGGAGCAGATTTCTTTTCAAGTACTTCTATGTCCTAATTTCATCAGAGATGCATGGGGGGTGCTTCTAGTGTGTTTCATTGTACCAGTCAAGGTTTCAGATGCTGCAATTTCAGTTAAAGAATGACCAGGTTAATGTTTTTGTGGCAGATTAAAGTTTTTGGAGCAGGTTAAAGTTTTTGGAGCAGGTCTCATTTCCAAGTAACTTTAAGCCCTATATTTACCAAACATGCATGGATGATACATCTAAGGATGCACACTACCAGGCTTGCTTCGGATGCTTGATCTGACCTACATTTTCCGGATGAATCGCCAGATTAAATTTTTTGGAGCATTTCCAAGTAACTGTAAATCCTATATTGACCAAAATTGCATCTATGATACATCTAAGGATGCTCACTATTGGACTTGCTTCAGGTGCTGAATCTGACCTACATTTTACGGATACAGTGACCATGTTAAAGTTTTTGGAGCAGGTCTCATTTCAAATTAACTATAAGCGATATGCTGACCAAACTTGCATGGACGATACATCTAAGGATGCACACTATTGAACTTGCTTTGGATGCTGGATCTGACGTACATTTTCCGGATGAGTGGCCAGGTTAAAGTTTTTGGAGCAGGTCCATTACCAAGAAACTATATGGCTTATCTGAACCAAACTTGCATGTATGATGCATCATTGGATGAACACTCTCAAACTTGCTTCACATGCTGGATCTGGATGAGTGACTAGTGTAATGTTTTAAGATAAGCCCATTCCCAAGAAACTGAAAGCCATATCAGACCAAAATTGCATAAATGTTGCATCTTGGAATGCACACTACTAGATATATGCAATGATATGACCTTGTTCAATAAGATATACGAGTACTGTAATCAGATAACGACGAATGGTATCAATTCAAAGTTAAAGATTTATTCCAAAAGATATTTGAAAAGTAAGAAACGTGATTTTCAAAAATTTATTTCATCTCGACAATGAAACACACAATACGTAGCCTTCTTGGAAACAAAAATCATTTTTTCTAATCAAAAGGCAAATCTGTTGGCGTTGTAACAACTACCAGAGTAACCCATGCCACTCCAGCGGGAACGTACGCAAACGTGGCGGACAGGAACTGGGAAGGTGACGCAGAAATGACGCACGTGACAGGCGGGTGTAAAGACATCGCTCGACAATTAGTGGAGGATAATCCAGACATACAAGTATAGAACAAAAATTAAACACTTTTTTTCCCTTATGATTATATTTCCTGCTACTGTATAACAAGGATACAGAACAATATAAAACAATTTATACTGGAACTTCATTGTGCTTTAAAATCGAATGTTTCAAGTAATCAGCAAAGTTGTTGATGTATTCGGCAGGTTTTATACCCATGATTACACAAAAAATAGTTCATATATCTAGGTTTGTGGTCATATTCATTCTTTGTTTATTACAGGTAATCATGGGAGGCGGAAGAAGGTTCTTTCTTCCAGCGGATGCAACAGATCCAGAACGAGGCGCGAACACAGCGCATGGAAGAAAGGATGGTAAAAATCTAATTGAGGTAAGGATGATACCCTATAATTAAAGCTAATACGTGACACCGTGTTTTCTTAATCATGAAGCAAATTTTCATTGTTATAGGACTGGATGAATGACAAGAAACGAAGACATAAAACATTCAGATACGTCTGGAACGAGACTGACTTCAACTCAGTTGATCCTGCACAGACAGATTTTCTTTTGGGTGGGTAGCTTTTTATTTTTTTTTTTCTGACTTTCAGAGAATATTTTACACAAGTAAATTAAATGTATTTATTTATGTGCAAGCACAGTATAGATGTATGCAATTTATAGGTTTATTTGAGTCAAGCCACATGAACTTCGAAATTGATCGAACCGATCCGCATTACGAAAAAGCTGGAGAACCCCACATCAAAGACATGACTGAGAAAGCCATTCAAATCCTATCCAAGAACCCAAAGGGGTATTTCCTACTGGTAGAAGGTTAAAATGCTCTTTTGCTTCACTTCCGAATCTCCAGTCTCCTAAGAAATGTTAACGTTACTATACATATTATAACTTTATTCGACTCTGTACCATTTAGGCGGGAAAATTGATCTTGCTCATCATGGCAGCGAGCCTGTAAGATCCCTCCATGACGTGGTAGCTATGGACCTAGCCGTTGAAAAGGCCAACTCCATTACAAATGAAAAAGACACACTTATTGTTGTTACTGCCGACCATTCTCACACGTTTGTCATCTCTGGATATCCTGTTCGAGGGAATGGAATATTTGGTAAATTTTGATGCTAAATTGATCAGTGTCGACTGTCTCTTAGTTAAACATTTCCTGAACTTGGTTATTTTTCTTTCTCTTATGATAAGTCAACTTCTGGTATGGATATTGGCCAGTAGATAATGCTTTTTTTCATGACTCTTTGTATTACTGTTTCACTTCCTAGTACAGCACTAGAGCAGTTGAATATACTCCATCAACTTCTAAGAATTTCTTTCAATTGGACCTTTTCAGATTTGATGTCATCAAGACCTGGTTACATCTCACTGGCCCGTGATCATAACCCGTACACTACCCTGTTGTATGGCAACGGCCCAGGGGCGCACTCTCACCGCCCAGATTTACGACACGTTGACACAAGTAGGTTCCACGTCATACTGTAACAATAAAATCATTAAAAAAAAAATCGACATAAAAAGACCAATCTCCAAGTGGAGCACAAAAAAGGAAATATAGTACATACACGTGTGTGCAAATTATATAATATCATTAATCATGGTGTACCAGCTGCATGAATAAGTACATGTAATTGGACAAAATGATGAAAATGAAAAAAAAAAAGACTGTGTATTGTATGTGATGAACTGTTGTGATCCTTTACTAGTTAAATCCCGGATCCTAGTAAAGTATGGAACGCCATAGCTGCCTGAAGGTCATTTTCATATTATATGAGGTGGGATAACCTTTATGTGAAGTGGTGAAGTCATTATATATAGTGGTAAAATCATTATATTCAATGAAAACTTTATTATATGCAGTGGTTTTATCATTATATACAGTGATAAAATCATTATTTTCATTGATAACTTTATTGTATGCAGTGGTTTTATCATTATATTCAGTGGCAATGTCATTATATGTAGTGGTTAAATAATGTAATGAAGTGATAATATCGATATATTATGTTGTAAAATCATTATATGCAGTGGTTTTTCCATTATATACATTACTGAAATCTTTCTGTGATGTGATGAATTCAATATATACAGTACAAACATAATTTGTGTGATAAAGCAATCATTACATTGTATGAAACCCGCTGCATGTGGAGTGCCAAGTTAATTTCATTCAGTGCGACACCTTTACATGAAGTGAAAAATCTATTATGTGCAGTACTAACATCATTATATTATATAGTAAAATTATTATATATATTCCTTAAATCATGCTTTGCAGTGGTAACATCTTTATATGAGGTGGTTAATTAATTATATGATGTTGTTAATTTGTTATATGATGTGGTCAAATCTTTATATGCATTAGTCGTTTCATGTTATGCAGTGGTAACTTCTTTATCATCATCTAAACTGGTCCTTTTATTTAAAAAAAAGTGCGCGGAGTTCCAGTTTAAAGAGTGTTTGAAAATAGGAAACCCGGGCCGTGGCAAATTAAAAGCCGGGGCTATTCGAGATTTTTCTAATTTCTGATTCTATTATACAGCTTCCTGATTTTATCAACTGTGCTGAAATTTTAAGACTCATTTTTATAGGTTAATGTGTATTCGCTGTAAAAATTGCATTTAATTTTAAAATACTTAGTAATTTAGATTTTCTAAGCGATTGTTTATTTCCAAGTTCAGTGGTGGATCCAGGAATCTTGAAAAGGGGGGCCCGACAAGTTTTTGGTCGGGGTAGGTAGCCCACAGCCAAACCAAAAAACAATTGATTTTATTAAATCTTGTGTATATTTTGGACACAAGGGGGGGGGGGGGGTCCCATAGGCCCTCTCTGAATCCGCCCGTGAGGTTGGTAAATCGGGTAGGCAATCAAGTAGACATTTTACGTGTTTTGTTTGTTTGTTGTTTTTTGTTGTTTTTTTTTTTTTTATTTTTATTTTTTTTTTGGCCATATTTGACAGAAAGCTAATAAACTTTTAAATTATTCTGATGTTAAAAATTATTCATTCTTTGAAAGGCATTTTTTGAGTGAAATGACACGTTTAAGAAAAACCGGTTCACATAGACGTCGGAACCGGGGGGGGGGGGGGTGTTTACCCCCCCTTTTTTTTTTTTTTACAAAGGTAGACATAATATAGGCATTGAAAATTCGGGCGTAGGTCTAGCCCCCCCCCCTCCCCACTTTCTACAGGCACGATTCATTGTAGTGAAAGAAGGGTAATTGGTAGTGTTTAAAAGAATTTGGTACTGAAAAATGTTCGACCCCCCCCCCACCCACCCACACCCCCCGAAATAGGATTTTCGGGTTTGGAGAAAGAACAATTTTCCTTTTTTTTTTTTGGCTTGTCAAGTTTTTTTTTCAGGTTTGATTTTTTTTCTATTTCAATTAGCCACACCACTATCAATTTCCTTCCGACGCCAATGGTTCATTAAAATCGGATTTGATCTCCCGGAAGTCAAACATAAAAAATCCGAGATACTTGTTCATTATCTTCATGTCATTTGATAAAATATAAATTAATTAAAGTATTATCACATATACATGTAATGATAGGACTATTAATGCAAAGCCTTGTGTCAAACTTTAATCACGCGTAAGTTGCTTGGTTTAAGGATATCCGATCCTCAGCCTTGAAGGATAACTCTTAATTTTATCATTTTATTCAAAAAGGCTAAAATGATTTTAATTTGGTTGTTTGTTTGCTGTTTAACGTCCCTCTCGAGAATTTTTCACTCATATGGAGACGCCACAATTTGCCAGTGGAGAGCTGCAAATTTTGTCCTATACTTGGCACTTACGGCCATTGAGCAGTGAGGGATTTTTTTCGTTCCAACACCTACTGTGGCACGGGACCTCGGTTTATGGCTTTATGCGGTCTCTTACGAAGGACCGGTCTCAACGTCCCACTGTCGGAATCGAACCCGTGATGTAAGGATTGACTCCTTATTCCGCGTCTCTTAGAGCAGACACTCTGATCACCGTGCCACGTTGGCGACGGCAAAGATGAAACTTGAAAATGAAATGTTTTCATGCAGCAATTTTTATTTTAAGCATTTCAATGTGATTTAAGGTTTTCTGAAGTCTTAGAAACAGTCTTATAAATAGTTGATATTAGTAATTTAACACCCCCCCCCCCCCCCGAAAAAAGTATTAAACAAATTACATATTTAACGTAATCCAGTTTCCTTCCATCTACTAGCATATAGATACATGTACCAGTGCACATTTGCATATTATGAAATTAGAAATGATTTATGGTGTTTTGCACCAGGTTCTTCCCGGATGATCGGATCTGGTTTAATAATCCTTTTTTTAATGAAAATGTGTATTTTGCATAAAAATAGCATTTTCAAATAAAGAAATAACTATCAAAAATAAATAGATTTTTTTTATAGTTAAAATACAGTGTTTAACATAGGAATAATTTTTAAGTTTATTAGATTTTTATCAAATATGTCAAAAAAACACACACACATAAAATATCGCCAACCCAGTCTACCCATTTTACCAACATGGAAATCAACAATCGCCAAAAAAAAAAAAAAAAAAAAAAAAAAAAAAAAAAAAAATCTAAAATACTAAGTACTTCTAGCACAATAGATAAAATATTAAATCAGAAAATTGAAACTGCCTACCAATTTTACTTGAAACCAAAAATCGTCAAGAAAATCTAAAATACCAAGTATTTAAATACAATTTTTACAGCGAAAACACATTAGCCTAAAAAAAGAGTCTGAAAATTTTAAATCAGAAATTTTAAAAATCTCGAATAGTCCCGGCTTTTAATTTGCCACGGCCCGGGTTTCCTATTTTCAAACACTCTTTAAACTGGAACTCCGCGCACTTTTTTAAAAATGTTTTTGCAAGAGGACCAGTTTAGATGATGATAAAGAAGTTACCACTGCATAACATGAAACGACTAATGCATATAAAGATTTGACCACATCATATAACAAATTAACAACATCATATAATTAATTAACCACCTCATATAAAGATGTTACCACTGCAAAGTATGATTTTAGGAATATATATAATAATTTTACTATATAATATAATGATGTTAGTACTGCACATAATAGATTTTTCACTTCATGTAAAGGTGTCGCACTGAATGAAATTAACTTGGCACTCCACATGCAGTGGGTTTCATACAATGTAATGATTGCTTTATCACACAAATTATGTTTGTACTGTATATATTGAATTCATCACATCACAGAAAGATTTCAGTAATGTATATAATGGAAAAACCACTGCATATAATGATTTTACAACATAATATATCGATATTATCACTTCATTACATTATTTAACCACTACATATAATGACATTGCCACTGAATATAATGATAAAACCACTGCATACAATAAAGTTATCAATGAATATAATGATTTTATCACTGTATATAATGATTTTATCACTGTATATAAAGATAAAACCACTGCATATAATAAAGTTTTCATTGAATATAATGATTTTACCACTATATATAATGACTTAACCACTTCACATAAAGGTTATCCCACCTCATATAAAATGAAAATGACCTTCAGGCAGCTATGGCGTTCCATAGTAAAGTTTCTTTGGAAAATTAATTAAGTGTATCATATTTTGAATCAGGCAGTTTTATTAACATTGAATCTTAATTCTGCAGTACAAGGAGTATGTAAATCTATCTAAAATACCGGTCTAGAGTAGGATTTCCCCCATAGAATCACCCCTAAAGCTGACTATAAAGTTGGCTCCCCCCCTCAAAATTAACTCTAGAGTAGGTTTTCATCATGAAAAAGACTCCAGAGTTGAACCCCCCCCCCATCGGAAATCGCTCTCTAAAGTTAGCTTTCGAGGGGGAATTCTACTCTTTAGAGTAGACATTCACCCCCTAGAGCCAGTTTTACCTCACCCCTATTAGTAAAGCCCTGCATATCGTAGTACATCACGGATTCTCAATTGTTTTATAGTGCCATATCGGTCTGTGCAAAAGATAAAAAAAATATTAATTGAAAGTAGCATTTTGATACGTTATTTGAAGTATGAAAGCGAATAAATTTAAAAATCACTGTTTGCTGTGTTTTGTTGACCTCCATCGAAATGGATGCAGTTCAATGACAGTTGGAAAATTAAATTTACACACAAAGATATTTACCGGTAGTTGATGTTGATACCTTGATGGTCTATAATTAGAAACAAAAGAAATTTTTAAAATATTACATGTATAAGATAACACATGCAATCTTATTATCACATTTTATCTCGCCTCCCAACGTTTAGAGCGATTTTTTAAAACATCAGTATCATTTTCTGGTACATCTTTATTTTAGCCAGTAAACACTACGTATACCAATCAGCAATTCCGCTGTCAACAGAAACGCATGGGGGTGAAGACGTCGCCATATTCGCTAGAGGACCGATGGCGCATCTCCTTCTAGGAGTGCGCGAACAGAACTACATACCTCACGTGATGGCGTACGCTTCCTGTGTTGGTGATTACCATGCAACAAGTCAATGCGCAGCGAGTGCTGGTCAGCACAGTACAGCAACCTCAAATATATTTGGTTAAGAGCAACAGACGCAAATCGTGTCATGGTCACCGCCATTCCATCTATAATGATGTTCAACTCAGCAAGAGATAATTTTACACGATTGAATATTTTGAAAAAAAAAAGTCATTTAAATGAGAATTCCTGATCTGGAATTAAAATTTTTATTTTTAACAAGTTATCTCTCTCGTACAGTGTAGTGGCATTGTGATTTTTTCCCTTGTATCAAAACCTGAAAGAAGATTACATTTCACATTTAGAATGGTTGCCTTAGTTATTATGCACACAGGGTTGTTACAAAGTACACAAAATAAAAGGAGGTTGCAAAAAGATATGCATCTACGAATGCTGAAAAATAACTATGGTAATCCCACCCTGAATGAAAGGAGGTGGATGAACAAGGCATGCAGAATTGTTATAGCTTAAGATATAAAAAAAATCATATTCAATATTAATTAGTGAACTCCGTATTTAGTGTTAAGTTTTCATTGATTATTAAAATCTATGAAATTATGATAAACAAAACTTATCATAGGAAAATTTTCTCGGCAAAAATTATTCCGTTATTAAACAAGAGGCGCAAGAGCCTTGAATCGCTCTTCTGATGAACTGCACAACCTATCAATTTTTTTCAATGTAAGATATTTATTGAGTATTACAGGCCACCGGCCCTAAGTACAATCATATATTAAAATGATAGGTTTACAATTTACAGATCAGACTCACATATTTAAACATATACAATGTGGGAACATATGAATTATGCTTATCAATTGTCACATATTAGATTCTCAATGAACTTTTCCCTCTCTTTGAAAGCTAAAAAGGAAAATTTTGCAATATCATTTAACACTACATCATTTCCATATATAAACATATTCACAGTATTTTTATAAAATCTCAAGTGTTTCAAAATATTACATTTTACTCTTATTTCCATATATAATTCACAATTTTCTACAAAGTGCCCTTCATCCTCAATACAAGTTTTATTTGCTATTTGACAAAAGAAACAGTACCTGTTTTCTCTAGGAATACCCTTAAATCGACCATGTTCAATTTCCAAACAGTGACTAGAAGTTCTTAATTTACAAAGTAATTCTCTAAAAGACGTATAGTTTATAACATCTATGTACCTTTCCGGTTCCAAAAAAATTTTGAATTTACAATAAAAATCTAATTTACTATAGGATCTCAATGAGGAATGCCATTCCTGCATATAGTTATCCTGAACTCTTTGTACAAACTTTTTTAAAAATAATACATTTCACCTACACCTTGATAGAGCCATACATAATGGAAACCATATTTAAATAACATTGACTTCACTTCTGATGCCCAGTTACCTCTAATTTAACTGAAGTAAAAATAAGTAACATTGGAGGTATAACAAAAAGTACAGAGAAATGGTTTTTTTGATGGAAAAGAAATTGAAATTGTACCATTTTACAAATATCTAGGGTTATATTTCACAAGTACAATGTCATGGGTCTCTGTGTGTGTCAGCGGAAAAAAGCATTGTTTATTGTATATAAATTTATGAAGATGTACAATGCATCATATAAACAAATCTTCTGCATCTTTAATAGAATGATTGTACCTATTTTTACTTATGATGCTGAAATATGGGGGTTTGAGTTATCTAAATGTATTGAATCTATACATACGAAGTTTTGTAGAAGAGTATTATTAAGACTCAAGAACAATACACCTGAAATAGTTGTCTTAGGAGAACTGGGGCGATATCCTCTTATGGTACAGTACTTTAAAAAATTTATTGCATATTGGTTAAAGATACTTTGTATGGAAGATAATAGATACAACCTATCACTTCTATTTGAAGCCTCTGTAAGTATCCTATATATTTAGATATAGCCTTGAAATTCCAAAAGTAGGTCATCGTGACCTACATTTTGGTTAAAATACTCCGAGAACCCAAGATGCATAACTGACAAAGTCGTGTTGACCTACTTTATGTTGACACACTTTAAGGCATTTCCACCCTCACAATTTTAATGGTTCAAAGTAGATAAACTGCATTTATTTTCACTGAATATAGTTTAAATTAACTAATAATTGCAAAAAAATGTATAGGTCGCCATATTTTTAAAGATGTTATAATCAAATAAACATAAGTATGTGTCAGCTTAAAAACTGTGCATTTTTCGTAAACAGTATTATAAAAATTATGTAAAAACTGGTTCAATTAATACACAATTCTGATACTGAAAGTTCCAAAATAATTGCTATTTTATAAGTATGTTTAAATTGTGAATATCAGGGACACCATTTTACATTAGAAGTACAACAAGCAAATTCAAAGAATTGTGGTCCCTCGCTTTCGGTGTCTTAGTAGATGGGATGCCATTATTTGTGGCATATTGTAACTGTCTTGTTTGTGTGTCCTGTCTCGTCTGTACATTATACAAAAAATACATAATTTATTGAATTAATATATGAGGCGCCGTTTTGGTATTTATTGCCATTTAGTGATATCACCTATTCGAATACGTGATATCACCTATACGAATAAGTGATATCACTCATTCAAATTGAATAGGTGATATCACCTATTCGAATAGGTGATATCACTTATTCGAATAGCTGATATCACTTATTCGAATAGCTGATATCACCTATTGGAAATGAATAGGTGATATCACGTATTCGAATAAGTGATATCACCCATTCAATTTGAATAGGCGATATCACCAATTCGAAAAGGTGATATCACCTATTTGCATTTCTTACAACAATAAAAAATGAATGCTCCCTTCCTCAAGACTATCTAGATTTCCATTGGAACCAAGCAAATTCGGGCTGCCCCGTTTTCCCCTGTAATTGAGTCCGAGACATTTTAAATACCTTATGTTATCGACCCCTGTAAGGTTATATAAATTTTATAAATACCAAGCTGGGGTACAACAGAGTGGCAGACCTTTCTCTCTTTATTATGTAAAGTGGGAAATTTTCCGTATGGAACAGTTATTATGCGTTTTTCACGATTTTTCCTATAGTATACATTATAGATAAGTGTAATAAATATAATTTGTGAGCAAAACAAACAACAAATTCTACTAGGGTGTTTAAAACTAAGTGCGAAGCTGTAATCCATTGTCTCCAAGAATGGTAAGTTATAAAACGAAAGTGAAAGTAAATGAGAATAAATGGCTATTGTCTTGGGAGCAGTTGTTATTTCATAAATAATTTGAACAGGTGATATCACCTATTCGAATAAGTGATATCACCTATTCAAAATGATTAAGTGATATCACCTATTCGAATAGGTGATATCACCTATTTGAATTGGTGATATCACCTATTTAATTTGAATAGGTGATATCACCTATTCGAATAAGTGATATCACCTATTCAAAAGGAATAAGTGATATCACCTATTTGAATGGGGGTCAAAAACCATAGTATGTTTGGTAAGGTCTTGTCACAGGTAACACACATGTCAAATGTGAAAGCCCCATCTCTTTTTAATCAAAAGTTATAAGCAAAGATTTTTTTTTTTTTGAAAAGTAGTTCAACTTCAAGGTCAAGGTCACTGGGTCAAAAATCAAAGTATATCTGGAAAGATCTTGCCACAGGTAATATACATCTTTAATATGAAAGCCCCATCTTTTCTCATTCAAAAGTTATGACCAATTTAAAGTAATGTTAAAATTTTTTAAAAGTAGGTCAAATTTCAAGGTCATGGGGTCAAAAGTCATAGTATATTTGGAAAGGTCTTGTGACGGGTAATGTACATGTGAAATATGAAAACCCTATCTCTTCTCATTCAAAAGTTATGACCAAGGTTAAAGTTTTTGTGACAGACAGACGAATGAGATTTAGTATCCCCTCGCTTTCGCAAAAGCAGGGGACAATAAAGAAAATGCCCAAATGAAGATACATGAGAAGGAGTTATTGCCCACTCATAACCAAAAGTTGTTATAGTACGAGAAAATTATCCTTTTTGTCCTCTCTAATGTGTGTATGCATTTCATAGCCAAATAATCTTGATCTTTGTGAGATTTTTGCAAACTGGAGATTTTACATGAAGTATACTTCAATGTTAGATGAAATATCAAAGAAAATTTTGTTATAATTGAGATTTGATTTTTCACCATCTATTGGACTTTAGGCATTTCGCTTGCCTTGTTCGCCCATCTTCATTGTACAATCTTCCTTTCTTGTCTCCTGCTTCCTTGCACGTATTTGGTTAAAAACAGAACTAAATTTCAGTGAAGAAATAATGACAGACATGCTGAACGTCAGACCAATTTCACTTTTATACAACAAATAATATCATTTTTTAAAATCATACAAATAATTTATTAACAAATTTTCAGGAAAAAAATAGAGAAAAAAAGAACATTGCAACATGATAACAACTTACGTATATCCTGAAAGCAGCCAGCAATCGATTGTAAATATTTATGCAAAATATAAATGCTTAACAATTGCTTTTATTTTTAAAGAAAAATAGATTCTTTATCTAGCTGCAGATCTGAAGCTCACTGGTCTGAAACAAGAGGCCCATGGGCCACAACGCTCACCTGAGTCAATATGGCCCTGCTGTTCTTTGTCAGCAGATTTCTTCTATATATTCATATGTAAAGCTTTGATCAATTGTTCTAGGCATAACCTATCCCCAGTTGCCATGTTTTGAATGAAATTGAATCTAAATTTTCTGAGGATGCTTCTATATTCATATAACTAATCATGGTTTTGCTGTTCTTGAAACAGAATTTTAAAAGTGTCTGCCATCCTACCCTGGGGGGTAGGAAGGGAGGGGGGTTCAAGATTTGAACAAACTTGAATCTACACTACCTAAGGATGCTTCCATATCAATATGACTAATTATGGCTTTGTTGTTCTTGAAAAGAAGATTTTTTAAGATATTTCTTATATATATTCTTTTGTTAAACTTTGATCCCCGATTATGGCCCCACCCTACTACTGGAGGATGCCTTGAACAAACTTGAATCTACAATACTTGGGGATGCTTCAATATCAAAATGACTAATCACGGCTTTCCTGTTCTTGAAAAGATTTTAAAAGATTTTTCCTATTTATTCCTATGTAAAACTTTGATCCCCCATTGTGGCTCCACTCTACCCCCAGGGGTCTTGATTTCGACAAATTTGAATCTATACTACCTAAGGATGATTCCATATCAATATGACTAATTGTGGCTTTGTTGTTCTTGAGAAGAAAATTTTTAAAGAATTTTCCTATATATTCCTATGTAAAACTTTGATCCCCCATTGTGGCCCCACCCTACCCCCGGGGGTCATGATTTGAACAAACTTGAATCTACATTACCTGAGGATGATTCCATATCAAAATGACTAATTGTGGCTTTGTTGTTCTTGAGAAGAAGATTTTTAAAGAATTTTCCTATGTATTCCTATGTAAAACTTTGATCCCCCATTGTGGCCCCACCCTACCCCCGGGGGTTATGATTTGAACAAACTTAAATCTACACTACCTGAGGATGATTTCATATCAATATGACTAATTGTGGCTTTGTTGTTCTTAAGAAGAAGATTTTTAAAGAATTTTCCTATATATTCCTATGTAAAACTTTGATCCCCCATTGTGGCCCCACCCTACCCCCGGGGGTCATGATTTGGACAAACTTGAATCTACACTACCTGAGGATGATTTCATATCAATATGACTAATTGTGGCTTTGTTGTTCTTGAGAAGAAGATTTTTAAAGAATTTTCCTATATATTCCTATGTAAAACTTTGATCCCCCATTGTGGCCCCACCCGACCCCCGGGGGTCATGATTTGGACAAACTTGAATCTACACTACCTGAGGATGATTTCATATCAATATGACTAATTGTGGCTTTGTTGTTCTTGAGAAGAAGATTTTTCAAGAATTTTCCTATGTATTCCTATGTAAAACTTTGATCCCCCATTGTGGCTCCACCCTACCCCCAGGGGTCATGATTTGAACAAACTTGAATCTACACTATGTAATGAAGGTTTCCCATAAGTTTCAACTTTTCTGGCCCAATGGTTCTTGAGAAGAAGATTTTTAAAAGAAGACACCAAATTTTCACTTATTCTTAATTACCGGTATCTCCCCTTGGAAGAGGGCATGGCCCTTCATTTGAACAAACTTGAACCCCCTTCACCCAAGGATGCTTTGTGGCAAGTTTGGTTGAAAATGGCCCAGTGGTTCTGGAGAAGAAGTCGAAAATGTGAAAAGTTTACAGACGGACGGACGGACAGACGGACTACGGACAAAATGTGATCAGAAAAGCTCACTTGAGCTTTCAGCTCAGGTGAGCTAAAAAAGGGATGGATGTCCTTAAAAATTTTTCCAGACCAGTGAGCTACAGATCTACAGCTATTAATAACCATTTGAAAAACATATTGACATTTAGTTTAAACAATATTTATTTCAAAAATTGAATGTAAAATATAAAATTAAATTATGGCCTTTTTGTTAATAATAATAATAATAATAATAAAAAACACGATATGTACAGTGCCAAATAGTCAACACACAAAGATGAGGAAATCTAGTAACAGTACTATTTACGACACATAAGAGTAGGACACACAGAAAAATCTATAACAAGTAAATCAAGAAGTTTAAATACAGGTCTGATAAAAATTAATTATAAACAACTATAACAAACAAATTGATATTCATTTCATAGTTCTGAAATTAGATAATTTAAGACTCTCATCATACTTCCAAAATACAGTTTAATTTCTAATTCAAGTTTCGACTTCAAAACTCTAATAAAGTTTTTACATATGCAATATACATATTCAAAGAATACTGTTTTGACATTGTTATTTGGTAATGTCCAGATCATTTTCCCTACAGACTGGTCAGACTACAAGAAGAATTCACACGTGCTTCTATGAAATGTGTAGGTCTCTGTCATTGCTCAGGTTACTTCTGTTTGGGGTATTTAGAGAATGGAGTACTCTGAAAATTAAAAAAAAAAAATGCCGATTCATTAACTAATGATATAAAAGTGATGTATCATGCTTAAACTGACTTAATATAAAAGTGTAAATTTCTTAACCTATTTCATAGTTCACATAATCTTTCCCATTTACAGTCCAAAACAATCATGTTTAACAAGAGACAATTTTAAGATTTTTCTTCACAGAGGAAGCTAAAGCAGAGAAATCTTTATTTAAGAATAAAAGGATAAATATAATTCATGAGAACTGTGTAAACATTATGACATGCACAATTATCTATAGATAAGAGAAATGTCTTACAGCAAAGTAGACTCCAAATTTGGCATGATCATCATTGGCAGAGCAGGCAGCTGCAGGCTTCAGGGTTCCATCCCCCAGTATCCCCACACATTTACCCCTCTCCTTGCAGGATTCCAAACACACAAAGTTCTGTCCCTTTAACAATAACATGAACTTTGTCTCTATCCCAAGATGGCTGCCCTGAGGCTGAAAAACCATATGAAATCAATATTCAAGTATATATTCATATTCAAGTATATATTTATATATAGCAATACATTATTGCTGTTGCATTACATTTGAGGGATTTCAGTTTTTGTGTATTTTGTGGATACCCCCTATCCACAAATACTAACACTGAGAAATGGGTGATTTAAAAAAAGAAAAGAAAGATAGGATGTGTGCTAGTGAAACTACATCCATTATGAACCTGTATTATTTTTAAGCAATCCACAAAAAAATGGCAAATACGAATAAAAATGAAAACTGGATTGACAAACAGAATTTATCTGTGCTAAACAGTTGAGCACTGTCATCTGATAATCATTTAAAGAATGCATCTTTATTAAAACTCACCACATGCATAACAACAGTGTGTCCATTGACTATGGCCAGGTAGTTGAAGTTGTTGTGGAGGCGAACTTGATTGTTTCCCTCATTAATCACAGTCCATACAGCTTTAAAACAGATAAAAGCAAAATAACCTTATATACTCTTTTTGCACTCTGGACGAAGCTTATGCAAGTTTCATAGTCAAAATGGCTTTTGTCAAAAGAAGCAGTTGAAATCTGTTGAATGCCTTAACTTATATATGTTGGGGAAGTAATTTAAATGATATGAATTTAAAAAAAAAAATATCTAGAAACATTTCTCAGATGTGTTTTTTTCACATCAATATTCAATAGACATATCTCCTGTCACAACTACTGATGTTAAAAAAACTAGCCACTTACCATTGAAAACTTCTGGTCCAATAACTCCCATACCATCTACCACCAGCTGACCAGATGAAGACTGGACAATCTGGAGGGCCCGTCCACTTGATTTAGACACCAACTGTATTTGGTTACCAGTCACAAAGTTCTCCTATAAATTTGACAAAAATTTACAAATCTATTTATTAATTCAGAAAATTTGAATTCGATGTTTATGAGTATTTTTTAATTTTTGACAAATTTTTTGATTACATTAAACCTATTTTATGCCATTTATCAACAAGACAATTTAGGGAAAAAGTTTAAATAGGAATTGAACCCGTATGTCCTGATTGTGATAGAATTAACAGAAATACAATGAATTGATTTGGTAAATAGTGTATAAACAAGTACGAAAATATACTGTAACAGTATTGCTCAATAATTATGAGATAAGATAGAAGAAAACGATGCATGTACATGTATATTCCCATATAAAACTTTATCTCCCTATTGAGGCTCCATCCTAGCCCCATGGGCCATGACTAAACAAAAATTCAATAACTCTACACTGTACCAAGTTGCTATTTTCCTATACATAAGGCCATCATTAAAAATATCTTTGTTTCCCCTAACCCGACCCTAAAATTTCAAGTTGAGTAGGTAGGAAGGTAAATTATTTTTTTTTTCTGACAGCAGTTTTGAAAATACATTCTGAAAATTGAATAATATCTCTATAAATAAGAAAGAACAAAAGAAACCGACTTTTAAACCGAATACCATACAAATGAAATTTAAAAGCAACATGTATGGTTAATTAATTCACAAATATTATTCATTTGAACTTGTGAAATATCTCAGGCCAGCGTAACTTTATTGAAATTGAATTTTTACAAAAAGATAAGATTTGCAAATACTCAACCATCGGCCATCCGAGTATGTTATTTTTCAAACCTACTATCATCTTCGAGTGCTTACACAGATAAAATGTCAAGGGCCTCGCGTGGCGCAGTAATTCTAGTGTTTCGTTTTGGAGTCACGACGTAATTCAGGAACTTATTCTAAGTCACAGGTCCCGACGTGGGGCGTGTAAACTTGTCAGTCAAATGAGACCGTAAAAAACGTAGGGTCATGCAGTGTCACAGTATACATGTAGATGTTGGCACGATAAAGATTCCTTACTTATGCTTTGATCAATGGCCATAAGTGCCGAGGAAAAGTCTAAATTAGGAGCAGCCCTCCACCAGGCAGGTGTTCAAATGTTGTCGACCCAGCAATTTTCAAGGGATCAACTAAAGAAAAGAAAAATACACTGGACGTCTCAGGAAGCCCTACCATAAGCAAACTTTAAAGATTTCAACACTATTTGAAAAGAGAGTACCTGTATAAACACTATTTAATTCAACCAAACCATATCTAAAATTATTAAAGTTTCATATATCTAATGTTATAGTCACGAAGTTTACCCCATAAATAAAAGGAATGAAGAAACGACATCTGAATTATATTTATCAAGATGAAATAATTATACAAAGATATATTTACAAATCCTATGGTCCCATATAGTAAAAGTAGAATCATACATGAAGTGTTTTTTTAAGATCGAAACGAATGAAATGCAGTGAAATTTATTGATATGCATACACAAAGTGGGCCCCTCATCTGCTCATGAGGCAGGCTTTGTCATGCTTACTATGTACGTTAATTTTAAAAGACACATTTGTAAATACCATCTTAACACTCCTTAGTCATGGTAAATTTAATTCACGAAATGTTTCAAGAGTGTAGGATTCTAATAAGTTAAAGATGTATATTAAGATTGATACATCGCCATTGTTTTATAACACTAAATAACCCTCTGTGGCCACATGTTGTGGGCGCCAAATGAGAGTAAAACAAAAGCCGCCATTCTGATAAAAAACGAATTTTGATGAAATTGTATTTTATAAAAGTTGATAAACAATAAAAATAAATATTTGAATAATCTTATTAAAAAAAACTTTTCAGTCGGCACGATTTAAGTGGGTCGGTCGCGTTAGGGGAAACAAACCTATTTTTTATTTTGGCCTAAATTGCTATATAAAGTCTTGATCTCTGTTGTGACCCCACTCTAACACTCTGGTGGTCACTAAATGAGGCGATATGACTAACTGTGCCCTTGCTATTCTTGAGAAGATTTTTTAAGATATTACTGTATACAGGGAAATTTTCATCCCTGTTTTATTTTCGCCCCTTTCGCCCTTCACACAAGTGGGCAAATTTAAAATGGGGCAAATTCAAAAATCACAGCATAATTTGTTAAACAGAATTGTGACTGGGCGAATTTAAAACGGGGCAAAATTGTTTGCAAGTATGAAAGGGCAAAAATAACCCTGTATACAGTATTCCCTACACATTTTCTTGTAAAATTTTAAAACTCTATTGCAACCCCATATTTAGCCCAAAGGCTAACCTACACTCAATAATGTAGCTTTGACATATCTTTTCTGGCATAGTGCTTCTTGAGATGACTTTAAAATACCCTATCTTTTTTTTTTATTTCTCAAATTTTGAGTTTTCTCCTCTTGAAACCTCAAGAAAAAAAGAATTCTGTGTAAACAAGGGTACTTTGTGCCAAGTTTCAATGAAATTGGTTAAGTGCAAAATGTGAAACGTTTACAAATGTCAGATATGACACACAACAGACTAATACTGAACACTTTAATCATCAGAAGAGCTAGCTCACATGCACCTCTAAATTGGCACAAGCTGAGCAAAAAAGTGATTAAACTTACAAGAACAGGTCCATAATTGTGTTGGTGATACTCAGTTCTGATCATGTTTCCTGCAGCATCTAGTTCCTTCTGAATAAATCCACCAAGTCTGTTCAAATCCTTTCCCAGGGATCCAAGCAGACCATGCTACAATCATTTGAAAGTTATATATATAAACCAGATAAATGACAAATAGTATGCCAAACTATAAGGGAGATAACTCCTCTTTTTTTTTTTTTAAATCTATATATCTTTAATACAAGTGCTACGGACAATTTTGTGTCATTATAAATTTGTTATATCCATTAAGTTTATAATACGTTTTAAAATGCAAAGGGAATGAAAATTACTTCACTGTAAGGATGAATTCATTGTAAGCATGTTCTCTATAAGAGTTTTTACTATACTTCTAAACTTCAAACCAATAATTACTTATTCAATTTGAAGGCAGATGCAAAGTTATATGTATCTCAAGATTATTTTTGCATAAGAAAAATTAAAATCCTATTCTCATCAATACTCTCCTTTTATTATTCAATAGTTCAATAAAAGAGAGAGAAAGGTTTATATTTCTTCTAGTAAACATCATAAATACAAAAATATTCTTCAAATTCTGAAAAAATTGTAAAATAAATACAAGAAGGATGCACAGACTTTGTCAGATAACTGCACTGACATACAGTATGTAATTTGTGCCTTCTTTGTCAAAACAAAACTTTTGACAGTCCATTTTTCGGACCGGTAAGTCTCGATCTCTTTACAATATACTATAGGACTTACATTTGTTGGGGGCGGTCTATGCTGCTGCTGAACTATTACTGTTGTCTGAAAAGGAAAAAAAAAGTCTGTACAATATAAACTACATACTACCTATAGGCATCACCAAAAATTTTGTATCAAGATATATCATGATCATATCATTTTTACATGCTTTTTTTATTTTGATCGATTGCAAACAAATCTCCATAATTCTTGTTACAGATATAAGGCTGTGAAAACATTACTTTTGATTTTTTAAACTTTTATTTATATAGAATTTTCATATTTCTTTTAACAGAATTGAGTCCTTCAACTAGCATTTTATAATTTTAATGAAGTATCAATGAAAATAATTGTATGCAATGCTATAAGATTAGGTCACAATATTTAACTCTATATTAGTTAAGATAAGCAACCAATTTTACTTCCAGTAATGATTTAAAAGTTTGAACAAATAAATGAATTATTGCTGGAATTTATAATTATGTACGAACTACTGGTATCTAAGTCTCAGTATCATGATACATATTAGGCAATAAAAAATTCATCTTTGCTAGCCAAGTTCTGATTTGTATCCCTACAAGGGGATTCAAATCAGTCACTTGGCTAGTGAAGATGTAAAAATCATGATATACTGGTATACTGAAAAAAAAAATTGCATCCTTACTACATACTGAACATTTTATCTTTCTGAATCCTTTTCTTTCTAGCTCAAGAGTTTGAAAAAGATATGTATACAATTTTTACATATTTTCCCCATCAAACTTTCACTGAAAATGAATAAAATCACCAAAAACCCATTCAACAAATTGTAAGTATTTATGTACATATTAGTATGTTTTCAGTGAAGGAACATATAAAACTGAACACAGTGAAGAGGAATTCAAACCATGGCAAACCAATGTTCACTCACATTTGGCGTAGGGGGATATTGACCATATTGTTGTATTATAACACTTGGCTTAAAACAAAACAAAACAAATCTTTCCAAAACCTCCAAATCCAGTCCACACAAAAAGCATTTTTAATGCAGGTGAAATAAATCATGCCCACTGAACTACTTTATTGCATGTTTCATGTCTGTCACATTGTGTAATACAAAAGCAATTATTCCCTCTTAAAGTTTTACATGGCTAAATATATATTTTCTGCAAATCAAAAATATCACAATAACATCCTCCTTTTCAATTTCTTTTAACTTATAGTTTCAATAAGAATATAGCTATCATATATTCCTATAGTATACCTACCCCAGCCTGTGGGTACTGGTAGGGAGGGGGAGCCCCTTGGTAGGGAGGGGGCTGTTGGTATCCACCTGTAGGATACTTTGATGCCATTTTGGTTCAGTTGTCTCTAAAAAAAATGATATACCAAGGTTATAAAGAAAAATATAATTTCACTGACACAAAAACCAAGCTATTAATATTGATAATTACAGTTCTCATTAAGTTAGAAAATCATTAGGTAAATATTTGTACACTATAATAAATACTGAATTCATACAATTTTGTGAACAATTGCAATTCACATTTTCTAATTACAAGGAGCAGTATGGCTATGCAGATGGATAGTCAGTTGAAATAATGTACTTTTAAGCTAAGGGGTTTCAATAAGGCATGTACAATCTAACTATTACAATGCTGTAACATCAAAACAAAACTTGTATGTCCACACATTGACATATATCCTGTTCTTGTCGATTTACTATGAATTTTTGTTAAGGTGTCTCCATCCTTATGTGGTGTCACAATATTTAGCATAATCTTTCATTTTTCGAACTTCTTTAACAATTGAAATTTGATTACAAATGTTATTAAACGGTTTCATAAGGATTATAGTCAAAGATGTGAGTAAAATCCTAATAAATAAAATATTTAATAAATAAATAAAAAGACAGGATTTTGTGTGTTTTCTTTAAGTTCTCTTCATCATACATGGGTTCTCCTCAATCTTATGTTGACATTAAGAAATATAATTTATTATTATTTTTTTTTTTGTTGATATTTTTTAAAAAGGTGACAACTTTAACATTTATATGATTAAAATAAAATGTATAATTTCAGTGAAAATCTAGTCTACTTTGACCCATAGATATGTTAGGGTCAAGACACCTTAGTAATACAAGATATGTATAGTTATTTAAAAATAAAAGACTGATGAAATTAATTAAATATCTTAGTAAATTTTGGTGACGTTCATTTATAACAGCTGAAATGATAATCCGAAAATGAAGGAAAATGAAAGTACACCTTTCTCCAAAAACAATCTGAATTTTAAATAATGTATAGACATAAAGAGTAATTATAATATAAATTCAGCAATATTACTACCTAAGTGTCCAACAATGCTGGAAAATCTACACAAAACGATGGTTCGATATTTTGTTTACATAGATTTCGCGAAACTTCCGTACATTCACAGTCACGAGGGTTTGACTAATTCACGCAAACGCATCCAAATAAGGACCGACGTCGAATACACTCTTTTATATGGTTTGCAAAACCTTTGTAGAAGTTCTGAAACAACTGCAATCCCCCATTTTAGCCCGTTTATGATTTATTAATGTACGTGGAATTCATGTGTAGGGGCTTAACAATATACACTATAAAATTTTAATTCATTGTCCCTGTGATTTTTTTTCCTGTATTGTCCACCATATGTTTTTTCTTCTCAGGCCTTTCCGACCTCAGACGGAAAGGCCCGAAATGATGCGATTGGACAAGATGTAATTCCATGTAAATTCTACGACGGCGTATATACATACATACGTGCTATTACTTTATGTTTGTATTAATTAAAAACCCGGGGAAACAATTACACCGTATTTGGAGTTTGATTCTCGAAGAGCATGTAAAAGCAGTCGGTTTGGTGTGTGCAGCCTGAAATTAGCACGTTGTAAAAATATCGTATTATTGTATATAATATGAGTGAAAGTATGACAGTTGCTATCTTGGATTTCAGGGGGTGCTTCGGTTCACTCTTGATTTTAATCTTTATCTACACTTTTCCTACCGGTGTCGAGTGAGATCTAGCTTCAAAAATGATTGAATAAAGCCTAACAATCGATTTGAACTTGTCGTATAAAACATGCAGTAATTAAGCCAAAACGTCCTAGATACCTAACACTGACACTGAAGGCGACGGAAGTGTCTATTTCTAACTAAGTAGAATGTAGAGGCATCCTGGAATTGCTTGGAAAGTCAAGAAAGTACAAGTTTGGCGCGGTTTCTGACCTCTCTAAACTTTCCGTAAAATCCAGGGATGCCTATAAAATAGATGAAGATAACGAACAGTGATCTATTTTTGAGAAAATCTACTACAACAAACAATACAAATTTGTGAACAGGGCATAAAGCGCAGACCATTGGAGATTCCAGAGGTGGGATCAAATGCCTAGGAGGAGTAAGCATCCCCTGTCGACCGGTCAAATCCGCCGTGAGCCCCTTATATTGATCAGTTGGACGGAATAATCTGTAGTCAAATTTAGTATAAAAACAAAAAGCCTAATAACTGGTATGAAATATGTCATTCAAAATACGACCAAGTGATAAGTTGTATTTGCTTATATAAGGTCAGTATATCGACCATAGCATTTAAGAAATATAGACTTTTAAACTATGTTGTTGAAATCCTTGTAACATCACCTAATTGACCGTAACTGCCTCGATTTAAAAATTGATCATATTCAGAGCATGTTCTTAAGTATCGAATAAGATGAGAGACAAAACACCATATGAAGGTGACAGTGGAATGTTACTTCATAAATAAGGGAACTTAACAATGAAAAAAAAAACCCTGAAGTTATCCTGTTTGTCATACATTTTAGTTGTTAATTTAGTTGTTAATTGGCTCATCGTCTATAGTCAGTAAATTTAAACATTTAAACTTAACCTGCATATGGTGTTCATGTCTCCAAATTGCTTCGATAGGCAAGAACATGCTTTGAATACGATAAAGTTTTAAACCCGAGGCAAGCTCCTGACAAATAAGTTGATGTTATAACAATTTCAACAACCTCGTTAAAAGTCAGCTTTTCGCATATTCTACGGTCCTTATAATGACTTTGTTTGTAAATAAAATATATAGTTCGGTCGTATTTTGTCTGACATGTTTCATACCATTTGTTGGTTCATTGCTTTTATATAACATTTTACCTCTAAAACACCAGAGGTGGAACCAGGTGCCATGGATGAGTGAGCATCCCCTGCCGACCAGTCACACCCGCCATATGCTCCTTGTCATGATCAGGAAATAAAAGAAAAATCTGTAGACAATTCAGTGTGTAAATAATGGCCTAACAAGTATGAAAAATGTCAGCATTTGACTTAATGATAGATTGTATTTGCTGACAAAGTCATTGTATCGACCATAGAACTTACGAAATGATGAATTTAAACGAGACTTGATAGTTTTGTTTCATCAACTTGTTTGACAATAACCTATCTCGTTTAGAAATTGTTCATACGCAGAGATTGTTCTTGCATATCGAATTCACTGAGAGATGTATACCCCGTATGCAGGTGATAAGGGTATATTGCTTCATAAGTAAGGGATTTTGACGAATAAAAAGTTAAGGTCATCACGTTTATCGTAAAGCTTTGTTGTTAAGACACCATTAACTTGTTTTTCTAGTAAAAAAAAATTCCAAATATGAAACAGATGTGTCAGACTCTGAGGTATCTTTATGTTAATTGATTATACGTCGTCGATATATCTAAATGTAGAGTTTCTTCTTCTCATATAAAAGATTTTGAATGAATTCTGCTTCATATGAATACAAAAATAGGTCTGTTAATAACGCAATGGGTACCCATGGGAATTCCAACAAATTGTTGGAAGACCTGGTCTCCAAAAACCACATCGATATTTTCAATCAGAAACTCAGGCATCTTTTTAATATCAACCTCAGAGTACTTGTGTGTACAATCAGAATGTTTTTTTAAACAAAATAATTTTGTAAATGAACTATGGCAAGGTAAGTAAAATTACGATTACAGCTGTCAATGATGTCACAAAGCTTGGGCTTTAAGTTATCGTGGGAATGGTTGTATATAGAGTTGAAAAGTAAGTTTTGATGTTACTGAATTTGGTAAAATTCTGTGATTTCAAATTTTCCAAAAGTTCCTTGGAATTTTTAAGTGTCCATATCTGATTTACACTACTTCTCGAAGCACAATACTCCTGAAGTTTCTCCTTCACTGTTGGTAATATTTTGGTGACGAGCAAAGAAAGAGGCTTGGTAGAACATTTATTTACCCTGTTTCATTCAATTTTTCAAATTGTCATAAAAGAAAGATTATTTAAACTAAATTAATTTCCCTCCTGTTTAGGTTATATCATATATATGATATATTATATATAGGTTGTATCATCCCTGCGCATTTAACTGTCTTGAAAACGAATGCCCCCTCCCCATTTCGTCTTTCTTTCCTCAATGAATCATCACTGATCATGAAGACACAAGTGATACCGAACTGAATGTTTGATGACATTCCCAGAAGAATGTTAATTGATTTAGTATATTTGACAACAATGCATACATGAACTGCACATTCTCTATTCTCATAAATCATAAATGTATTGACTCGTATGATATTTGCATGATCTTTACTTACTCTTTTAGTGTTTAAGTAAGGTTGATGATATTGTTGTAAGGGTTATTGCCTTGAAATGAGCACAAAACTGCAGGTGTTGACTAAGATACAGAACAAAAACAAAAACAAAAACAACATATGTAACAGGAAACAGTGATTGTGGAATAACTGCAATTTACAGTCTCCCAAATTTATCGAATGTACTTATAACCACCCTTGTTTCAAAATGTGTTACATTAGAACTTTGGAATAGATTAAAGTAGCATTGATTTCACTCTAGCAGTCCTGATTTTGATTTTTTTTTCCATTTTCGATCGGAAACTGATGTCATAATTTGCTCTCTAACTTTCACCCATCAGGGAATTGATTTTGAAAGGTAGTAAGGGCTTCTAAACTTAAATTTTGGGACATATAAAAAGTCGAAAATGACTTTCAAAGGATCTGAAACTACATGTAAAACAGAAAAAAAAAAGAAAAAAAAAAAAAAAAAATTACACCCCCCCCCCGGTCAAAAAAGGAGAGAAAAAACAGACCATTTGAATTTTGTTTTACTGACAAGAAATAGTTTGCTTCCCCCGTAATTTATATCGAACATTTAGTGAATTATGTAAATTAGGAATTACTATATAATTTTTAACTATATAAGCGATTGGACTTGCATATGATCAAATACATGATTGTATATAATAAAAATGCAAACTGGCAATTTAAATTGTATGTATGGAAAGAGGACTACATTGTACCTAATTTGTTTAAACTTGTTTCCAACATTCCACACTGACATGTTATCTATAATCAATGAATCTGGTGCAAAGAGTCTCAATGTTCTTATATACAGGTAATTTACTTTGATAGTTATGTGAATAGACGTCTAATTAGTTTTCTATACAAGATTTAATCTTAATCAAATAAGTGCAATGCAAACAGAAAGGTATAATGGCACAACAAACATTGCATTTAAAGATAATAAAAATTGTAACGCTCTTCTAGAATGACAAGTACACGTTGTGTGTTTCTGTTCCGGGAATAGTTTGATCAAACACTTAGTTTTCTAGCTAGCTGTTCTTTTTTTTTTTTTTTGAAGTGATATGAAGATGCAAATCCTTGGAAAACAATGAGTGCATCACCAGCTCGTTGAATAAAGTGGTACAGTCATGTTCTTCTTCTCCTTTCTATTCCACAATTAAAATTCCGCTTGAAAATGTGAAATGGGATTACAAACAATGTACAATGGAACGATCTTCAAAGTTAAGGACAGACGATACGTTCCTCAATCATGCTCACTCACAGAAAAAAATGAGGTGCCTTACCAGGCATTTGTGCAAATACCAGAGCATGGTATTTCCTATATAATCCTTTTGAAAATAACTAAATTTGCCAATATCAATTTTTTTTAGCATTCTGATTGTTTAAAGACAATTAGAAACCAGTTTAGAAATCACAAGGTTAGTATAACTTAATTATTTTTTCATACATTACGAAGAGATACAAAACAGATAATTGAAAAAGTATCGTCTAACCTAAATTCTCATGGAAGTTAAAAATAAACTTCACTAAAAGCGTTTTTGAAGCACTGATGCCCCGTATGGCAGCTCAAGGCCAAGGCTAAAGTTTTTCAAATATTAATCAAACTCAAAGGTCAAGGTCAAGAGGTAAAAAATGTTCATACACAAAGAAAAGCTTTGTCACAAGGAAAACACATGTGAAAAATACCACCATTCAGAAAATATAACCAAGGTTAAAGGGGTTTTTTTTTCAAAAAGTAGGTCATTCTCCAAAGTCATGAGGACAGAGGAGCTGTGTGAGAAAACGTTAACATTGTTGCCT